CAAATACAATTGATGTATTTTTAGCTACTCACAGGATTGTAATTTTAAGCAAGGTAATAGGAAAGCCTTGTTGAGAAGGTGACATTTGACTAAATACTTCAAACAGCTGTATGGATGGAGGGCTAGGGACCTGAGACAGCAGCATCAAGACACAGCACATTAACACAGACATGAACTCTCAGAGACTGTAGCAGCATGTCCAGGGCTTGCAAAGGTTCAAGCCAGATGGGGCCCCAGTGCTGAGAGAGAGAAGAGGACACGGGCTTCCTCTCCTAACCAAGGAACTATCTACAGCTGGTACCTACTTGCAAAGCAAAAATTACTCCTCTCCAGTGGAGTTTCATTGAGTATATTAACCACACTTCAGGGAAGGACAGGATAGCTGGTCTACACAAAAAAACTCAATGGGTTTTTTGTATACTTTGTGTGTGTGCATGTGTGTGTCTTGGACCAGTTAAGTTGTTCTTTAATGACAGGGTCCTAAGGGAAAGGGCCAAAAGTGACAACATAAAGAAGATGGAAAAAACGAGAGTCAGGAGATCTTACACAAGCTATGTCTAAAATCATTTGGACATTTTCAGAGTTGACATTCAATATACCTGTAGAAATTCAAACCTTGCAATGGGAGAGAGAAACCACAAGTGAAAAGCAATGTATTGGGGAGGGGGACAGCAGTGAGTCTTCTATCACAATCAAATGTGTAATGGTGAGCAGGCTGGAGATACAACCTTGTGGCAATTGCCAGACAGGAGGTGTCACAATGAGAATTGTTGATCTCAGCTTTAGAACAAAATTGGTGCTTTCAAACCTGGGAATCCCACTAGGGATCTGGATTCTTGACCACTTCTATAGCTTTCATCCAATCACTTTCAGTAGGTCAAGCATAGGCTTGACACAGAAAGATCTGTTCTCACTAGTATCTGTGAGCGTATAAAGCTGATCTTCAGCGGGCCCTCATGGTGCAGGTCTATAACCCTATGTTCTAGTTTCATTCTGTTGTGATAATAAAACACTCTGACAGAAAGCAGTTTAGGGAAGGAAAGGGTGTATCTGGCTCACAACCCATCCCTGAGGAAAATCAGGACAGGATCTTAAGCAAAAAAAAAAAAAAAAAAAAAAATTGAGGAATGCTACTTGCTGGATCAATTGGGCTTATGCTTATCTAGCATTCTCATTAAGAGCAGTATTGGCTTCCAAGAGAATGGCACTGCCTACTGTGATCTAGGCCCTCCTGCCTCAATTAACAATCAAGACTATCCCACATAAAAATACTCATACATCAGTCTTATCGGGGCTGTCCCTCAATTTCAACTCCCTACTCAGCTGACTCTAAGCTGTGCTAAGTTGACAATTAAAAGTAATTAGGACACTCTGTAACCTGCCTCAAAAGGATGAAGCTATTTTTAAAAGAAATTTGTGTCCCTCAGTTTGGTTATCAGACTACTGAGAAATGGACCCCCAAGAAATAGAAATATTCCCTCAGAAATATCATATTGGGAGAAGAGAAAGCCTAAAGACTAGGATAGCCATAAGGGAAATGTTTCTCCAAGAAAGAGGTTTTCAACTTGTCATACCAACTTACAGGATATAGAGCCAAAGCATTGTTGCATCAATGATGGCATCATACCTTGACAGAGACTGCTTAGATGTACATAGCTCTAGGCTTAGATCTAAACCTCAACCTCATAGGCTGTGACTTTAAGTCCACTGTCAATCCTAATACGTATGAAGGAAAGGCAGTAATATGTTGAGCTCAAGATGAGCCTGAACTACACAGAGACCCTGTTCCAAAATAAAATGTATGACTGGGGAGATTGTTCCAAGGGTAGAGGGCAGGATATATAAACATGAGAGTCAGACTCCAGATCCCCAACATACACATAAATGTCATGTAAACATGGCAGCCTGTGGTGATATTTTATTTGTACTCTAATAAATAAAGCTTGCCTGGAGATCAGAGGAAAAGGCCAGCCATTATAAGTAAACACAAAAGTCATACAATGTTAGTACATGCCTTTAATCTTATCACTTAGGAGGCAGGGATCTGTCTGGATCTGTGTGAGTTCAAGGCCACATTGGGAGCAGAGCCAGGTGTGGTGGCACATGCCTTAAATTCCAACACTAGTTAACCATGGAGGTATGGAGATCTGTACAGACAGATAGGGAGTGACAGAGTTTGCGGGAAGAGGAAGTGATGTAGCTGGACAGAGAGAACAAATCAGATGGCAGAACAGCAAGACACATAGATGTCTGGAAGCTGCGGAGTTGGTGAGGTAAGGTTAGCTGTGGCTTTCCCTATTTCCCTGATTTCTCAGGTTTTTCACCCATATATCTGGCTCTGAGTTTTTTATTTAATAAGATTGTTTAGAAATTCATCTATAGCAGCCCAACTGTGATACCAGTAAGTACTCAGGAGATTGAGACAGGAGATTCCCAGAGCAAGCTGGCTGAGTAGGTTAGTTGATTCCATGAAATTTGGGTTTAGTGAAAGACTGTTATTTGATAGATGAAGAGTGATTGTAGAAGACAGTAAATGTCAGTGTCTGGTCTGGCCTCTGCATGCACATCTACACACATACAAAGCAGTCACATACATATAAACACATACACACGTATGCATGCCCTATACACACACACACACACACACACACACACACACACACACACACAAAAGAAAAATAAAAGTAAAAAGAAAGCTGGGGATATATCTCAGTGCTAAAGCATTTGTATAGTCTTCCCAAGCCCAGAGTTATACTTCTAGTCCTGAAAAAGAAAACGGTCTCCAAGAAGAGATTAAAATGGTAATTATCTGGGCTAGAACTGGGATGGGTTGCCCCGCCTGCAGGGCTACAAGGGTTACTTGACCACCCTAAGGAGGGAATGTAGGGACAGGAGATACAAAGGAAATACACCAAGTCTAGATTCTGATCAAGGTGCAACTTTATTTTTCTCCAGAAAGGTTTATATAGTTCCTGCAGGGTGGAGGGAGCAAGAAGAAGCTGTCATCTGCATAAGGTGGGGCAAGCTAACAGGATGTTTGTATAGGATGTTCACAGAGTGAAAGGGTCAAGGGCTCTGACTCAATGTCCTGTTGCTAGGCAACCTTACTGTAAGATGATCTAGTTCCCTGTCTTATCAGGGGTCTGTATTTTTCCACTAACTAGAGATTCTATCCTTGTCCCTGACAATGGATGTAACCAGAGATATTAAAGTATGGATACCAGGATCCCCAACAAGCTAGATTTAGCTACTCATCCCAATATGTCAATTAAAGAAATGAGTTACAAAGAAAAAAATAAAGGAAATTTATTCAATGTGGTCACATTGATGAAAGGATCTAGGTGACAGGATCTAGTGACTGATGTCCTGCTTCAGGGACTTTAGGTTTAAACACAGGATATATCTGGATAAGGTGAAAGAAGTACAATTAAGCAGTCTTGGGCAAGATGTGGTATTACCAATCTTTGCATCAGTTCTTGTTTGATAATGTGGCCCAAGGAATATTTGTCCTTGTCATTCCTTTGAGGAAGAATCATTAGTGGGTAATGCACACAGGCATCCATGTGCCCTTGGAGGCCAGAATAGGGCACCGGATCCCTTGAAGTTGGAGTTACCTGTGGTTATGAGCCGCCTAAGAGGAGCATTGGAAACCAAACTCAGGTTCTCTGAAAGAGCAGCAAGACCTCAACCACTGAGCTCTCTCTCTCCAGGACTCGGTTTGATTTCTATACTTCTGCTTCAAGGTGCAGTCTCACCTCTGTGGAAAATTACCCTCGTCTAGGGACTGGACAAGGTGAGGTTTATGAGGACAAGAATTTGGATCCAATGCCCACATAAATGCTAGTTAATTGTAGTAGCCCATCTGAAATACTAGCACTCAGGAGGCAGAGACTGGGTATTCCTGGAATCCAAAGCGTAGGACACTGATTTATGTCAATGCTTTCAGCCTTATAAGGGAAATAGATAGTTTGGACAGACCTCGAGAGGTTAACATGTTAACCTGTACAGGTAAACAGGTGGCCCAAAGTAAAAAACAGATAAATACAAAATGAAGGTGGACATGTCAGGCTTTCATGTTGTGCTTAGTTACCTTGTGGTTAACTAAATAAAAAGTTACATGCCAAGTGCCTATTTCAGAAAGAGTAGTTAGCAGGAGGTTGAAAAAAGGCATCAAAATAGAGTTAGATGGAGTAAGTGCAAGTATTCTTTTTTTATTTTATTATTTATTAGCATTGCATGTGTGTGTGATATGCGATATGTGTGAATATGAGTATGCTTTATCCTTTATGACAGAGGTCACAGGACTACCCTGTGGAGCTGGTTCTTTTCCTTCACCTTTATATGAATTCCGGACATCAGACTCAGTGGGAGTTGCACAGTAAGTGTGTTTACCTGCTGGGCTATCTCACTGTCCAAAGTTCAAGCTTTCTGAATTTTGGTGGGTTAATTATAGCCCAGAAGATTGTATTGTATATTTTAGGAAGAACTAGAAGACAAGAGTTTGATGTGTGATCAAGAATTCTTGGAAAGAGCGTGTTTGGCATTTTCTTTTCTAATGTAGCCTCCTGGTAAGCTGAGCACTCTCCAGAGCAGGGCCTACTCCTGAGAGCAGTCGGTTAACATGGACTGGACTTTTTTTTTCAGGAGGGACTCAAAAGTTGGTGAGTAGTGATGGGAGGATGGAGAGGGTAGATATGGGAGGAGCTGGCAATGGGTGGCGAATTAATATGATCAAAATACAATGTATGAAATTCTCAAAGAACTAATAAAATATTATTTAAAAAATTATTTTGGAGGCTTTCGAGCAGCAGTTCAGCTGAGAGCCATTGGGATGAGGACACAGAAGCTTCCAGTCTGAGGAAACAAGACCAGCTGAGAAGTTGGCCAGATATGAAAAAGCAGGACTGCGGAAAGGAGTGATGACCAGTGATCTTTGCCCAGGCTGGATGTTGAAGCTCATGCCTCAGGACAGGACACCTACCGAGAACAGTGTACCAGCTACTGGGACCAGCTTTCCATCTACTTAGTGCCGTTCTGTGCCTGAACTGCTAAAGCCAGCTAACCACAAATGGCTACCCAAAGGAAACACTTGGTGAAAGATTTCAATCCATACATCACCTGCTATATCTGCAAAGGCTATCTGATCAAGTCAACAACAGTGACAGAATGCCTCCACACATTCTGTAAGACCTGTATTGTCCAGCACTTTAAAGACAGCAATGATTGTCCAAGGTGTGGCAACCAAGTTCATGAAACAAATCCATTAGAAATGTTGAGGTTGGATAATACATTGGAGGAAATTATATTTAAGCTGGTACCTGGACTATGAGAACAAGAACTTCAGCGTGAATTGGAATTTTGGAAGAAAAATAAACCTCAAGAAAATGGACAAGATGACGTGTCAAAGGTTGGCAAATCTAAAGCACATGAAGAAGGTGATGAAAACCAAGATGATAAGGACTACCATAGAAGTGACCCACAAATTGCTATCTGTCTGGATTGTTTACGAAATAATGGGCAGTCAGGGGACAATGTAGTAAAGGGTCTCATGAAGAAATTCATTCGATGTTCTACACGAGTTACTGTAGGAACTATTAAAAAATTTCTAAGTTTAAAACTAAAACTTCCAAGTTCTTATTAGTTGGATGTGCTATGCAATGGTGAAATTATGGGGAAGGATCATACCATGGAATTCATCTATATGACAAGATGGCGACTAAGAGGAGAAAATTTTCGCTGTCTGAACTGCTCAGCCTCGCAAGTCTGCTCTCAGGATGGCACTTGGTATCAGTCATACCCTATGGTATTGCAGTATCGACCAAGAATTGACTTTGGGTAGGCCAAGGGGCCCAGACTGCACTGAATGAACCCTTCACTATTTGTTTACTCATCGGCAGATTGCACAGTGAGCGGTGTGTGGACTTGAGAGACACGATCTGATTTTCAGCATGCACATAAGGCCATTGTCTGTCTCGACATTGTCAGTTTCCTTCATGTTGTTTCTACTAGGAGCAATCTAAGTGCCCTTCTGCTACTGACCATCTGCATAAGATATTTGTCTCATTTCACAGTGTGCAAAGCACGGCTGAAATCATCTAGGAGTACAGCCGTGACTCTGCTTTCTCAATGTTTTGCTTGCCTGTTGCAAGATTGTTCTAATGTTAATTACACTAGTAAAATGGCTCAATCCTTGTGGTGTTGCAGTTTTCACATACTTAATACTTTTATTCTTGTTAAAATAGAGTACTGTACAAGAACTAGTATAATTATATCTTGAAATTATTTTGTATAAAAATATATTTAGAAGAGTGGTTTCTGAGCCACTGTCCTATTCTTGGTAAACTTTTATGTAAAAAAGAATAAACGGCCAAAAAAAATTATTTTGGAATGTAGAAACAAATCCTTAATTTTCCACCAACCACGGGGCTAAGAATGCTCTCAAATAGCATCTGAGATTTCCCATCTCTGCTGTCACCAGCTTCCCTGATGTTGCCTCCAATGCATTCAAAAAGTGTCTTCATTCATGGCTTTCTTAGTTCTGGTACTATAAAAAGTTCATAAAATTGCTACTTCATTAAGACACTGAATTGGAGGAAACCTAAATCTATATTCCCAGGCCATGGCACTTGTATCAGGCTTCAGAATAAACTATCTCTTACCACTTTGAAGTGAGAGTTGTATTTTTGCATCAACAAAAGACTCCAAATACATGCGCGCGCGCGCGCGCGCGCGCACACACACACACACACCCCTACACACATTAGAGAGTCAGACATGTTTATTGTCCTGATCTCACTAGGAGGAACTAGGAATTACATGGATACCTGACAGGCAGATATGGAAATAAGAAAGCAAACTTTTTTTTTTTTTTTTTTTT